AGCAAAGAAAATCACAACCGTGAAGGAGGTTTGGATACCCGGTCTTAATTAGCATAGATTTTGACGATTTTACTTCTCCGTTTACTCCTTAGTTTTGGTTTCAATTAAGAAGAAATATCAAATACTCGAGACAGCGTTTCATCGGCTATCCAAACACCTCAAATTTCGTCAAAAACCCTCCGCTGCGCGTCGTATTTCAACTCTCTTCTCGATGTTAGGATATCCCGATGAAACACTGTCTCTCGTGTTTGATATATTACATAAACAACTTGTCTTCAAGGTAATCTGGCCATTTGGAGTTCCTGGTTTCATTATGTTTTCTCATGGAATTATTGAATTTTTTTTAGGTGAGTCAGTTCCTACTGACGAACAGATGACAAATTCCAAAGACAATCGCAACTCACAAGTTTTTGAGAGCCTTGCTCTCTTAGCTCCTTCACAGCCTGCTGTGAGCGACAAAGAAAGAAAGAAATTTGAAGATGAAAAGTCGAAGCTTTACACTCAGCTAGATGAGAAGGTAAGGAAAAAATTAATATACCTGTACTTGTTAGAAAAAAGCACTGAAATTCATTAAATTCCTAAACATCTGAAAGTTTATAAAAGTATGCTACACTGTAAATGTAGTTTATGTTTCTGACACTGTGTTTCATTTATGGTATAATACATTTAGTTTTTACATGCCTGTGACCCTCAACCATGCCAAAAAAAAAAATAATAGTTAAAAATATATAAAAAGAAAGAAAGAAAGAAAAAGAAAAACCTTTATTTTTTAACCTCGGCAGTGTCAATAGCAAAAAGGCTAGTGGGGCCGAGCAAACAACTGAAACAAATAATTCAAACTGAACATATGGTCAGTTGGCTATTTACAAGCGTGGCCGGGGATTTGAACTTGGGGCTACCGTTAAACAAATCCAGATAGTGGTCAGAGCGGGACTCGAACCGGGACCGCTGGATTGCGAGTCCGACGCGCTGACCACTGGGTCACGCTGCATCGTGAACAGGAAACCAGTTTGTCACTTTCACAGTTTCCATGACAGTTTTCATGACCATGTGCGACAATTTTACTTGGCAGGATGATGAAATTCAAAATCAAGCACGATTAATTAACCAACTGAAAGAGCAGTTGGGTGAACAAGAGGACGCTCTGAAGGCAACTCAGGTGGACAGCGAGAAGCTGCAGTCACAGATCAGTTCTATGCAGAGCGAGAGCGAGACGTCGAAAACTGAAGTCAAGGAAGTACTCCAAGCTCTTGAAGAGCTGGCAGTGAATTACGATCAGAAGCTGCAAGAGGTGGAGACGAAAACTAAAGAAAACGAAAAGTTATCTGATGAAGTGTCACAGAAGCAGGTATGGCGTTCAAGTGATTTTCTTTCTTTTTTTTTTTTGAATTTTATTTACAGTGTTGCATATTTCTTACTGTACCGCTCCAAAGAAAGTCTCCACATCTCGTCTCGTTTCTTGCGAATTGTTGTCGCTTCTCTTGAGAATCACTGAATAGTTAAGTATGGGATGTATTACTCGCCAAACCCGTCATGTGTTTCAACGATTTCTGCTCAGCAATTTGTTGCCAAATCGATGGGACCGAAGCTATCAACGATATGTATCGATCCCGCTTAATTTGGGTCGTCAAAGGTCATGAAGGAGAGGAAATAGGTGACAAAAAACGTTTTTAAATCAGTCTAATCTAGGAAACTAGAATGTTGCCGAAAAAAAAAACACTGAACAGCTTTTTGCTCGTCTGTTTTCATTGACTGCTGTTGAGAATATGGTGACACCCATAACGGTTGTTATGCATCATGTACCATAAGTTGTCTTGTTTCATATGGCTGTTGGCGTTTGTTGCGGGCTTATAATGCTGCCGATTTTCTATCTCTCTGTAGGCATTGCGAGCCTATAATACTAGGTGTAGAATTCCCCAAAAATACAGTCAGTGTTGAAGACCAGAGTTACAGGCTATAAAGTAAACTTTCTCGAAATCCTTCGCAGTTGTAGGTTTTGATTATCGCAGACCTTTTTCGATTTCCGTACTCAGGTTTCTTAGCTCTCAACTTGTGAAGAAGTCTAGCTACAAAGTTGTTTGTTCACCTTGTTCGTTGATTGATTAACCTTGAAATATGCCATTACATTTGTACACTGATTTACGTTCTTCGCAACAGACACAGCTCAGCAAAGTTCAAAAAGAACTCGTGGAGATCAAGGACAGCACATCAGTGTTGAGAAAAAGACTGGCTGAAATGATGAACAGTCTACTGTCTGATTTGGTAAGTGAGTGGGCTTATTGACATCCACTTGACGTTGATTAACACTGCTAGACTTAATGTAGCTTGCTTACGTTTGTAGAAGATGATTTTGGAAGTGCTTATGGGAAAAGCATGGTTGGGTGTGGCGAGGGCCTGGTTGCAGGCAAACAGAATTGAGCAAAGGAGGGTGGAGGAGGGGGGAGGTTTAACCTCATTCCCAGGATTTCTCATCTTCCCGCCGAGATCCTGGAAACTAGGTTGGAGGAGGTTAGAATCATTTAGGTGGCGTGAAGTTTTTTTCGTTCTTCATGCTCCCAGAAGAACCCCTAAACCCTCTTTTCTCCTGTTTTATCACTTTCTTGACTGGTGTTCTGAAAACTTTTGCCACTAGATAACGCTTTTGAAGACCGTGGAAGAACAGCTCATAAAACAGTCTTTATATTCGTGTTGGGTGTTTTTCAAGGGTTAAATTATTGCTTGGAGCTTGTCAGTGTCTTACTGTCATGCATAAGACACGCGTGTTTGGCTTTGGCATTAAGACAGTCCGACTTAAGGGCTGAATTACAGTATTACTCAAGTTCAGTCTTTGTTATACTGACAATGTAAAGTGCCATTGAATGTGACAGACTTATGTTCTTTAACCCTCTGTATTCTTATATTTGGTCAGGCCTTATATGAGAACCTGTTTATTTGTTTTTATTTTCAGGGTGAAATTGGTAATGTCATTGGAGGAAATGCTGCTGAAATCAAGGTAACTGTTTGTTTTACTGTTCTGTGCAAAATATGTATTTGCCTTTACTGCCCACTGGATGAAGTGCAGAACGTGTAGTGTACAATATCAAAAGACTTACAATTTCATTGTTTATTCGTTTGCAGAAACCCAACATTGATTGCAGCGGCAAGTTGGACGAAGACTTCACCGTGGCCCGACTTTACGTGAATAAAATCAAGTCAGAAGTGAAAACTCTGTCTGTGGTGAGTGAGTGGGTGGAGTCACTGACTGACAGTGAGTGACTGAAAAGAATTTGAAAATTCTTCAGGGACCTGGTTCAAATCGAATTTAACGAGCTTGATCACGATTTACGTCAGGAGCTATGTTTAAAATTTCTATCAAAGTTAAAGGAGCCCAGTCGCGTTATTTTTAGCTATTTTGGCCACGTACAAAATTACCTTTAAAAACTGAAGGAAACCTGAAAATAAATGTTTCCTAAGATAGAAAAACACTAAAGAGATAATAATAAACCATAAAGGATCAAGGATGGCTAAGGATGGAGAAGATTAACACGGATTGCAAACAACGAAATTGAAAATTTAGGCTAAGCTTTTCAAGAAGCGCAAACCGTGACGTAGCTCCTTTAAAATAGAAGTTAACGTAGCTAGAAAATTGTCAGAGGTGTTAACAATAACAATGATTAAAAGTTGAACGAAGATGGTGAAGATTGGGCATGTACGAACAACGGACTCAAGAACAAATTAGGCCGAGCTTTTCCAAGATGCGCCGTCGATTGCATAAGTAAGCTTACGACGTTTCAAAAACATTTTGTAGGATGTGAAACGTGATATTTGAAAGCTCANCTCACGAGTGAGCGAAGCTCACTCGTGAGATATTGTTCTTGCCACTCGAACATAAAATTCATATCTTCTCGCCACCGTGTAATATCCTCTATTTATCGTAACAGAGTTTTTTTTTAAGTCTGGCAAAGAATTTTCTTATGATCTTAGCTGAGCCCTCAAGCCAGTTGAAGGGACTCTATCAATGAACTCTAGCCAATAAGAACAAAGCTGTCATTTTTTACACCAATCATGTGATGTTACCGCGCTGACCATTTACAACAGTGTTTCCCGCGCGTGTCGCCGGATGCATGCCTTTGAATCAAATTCTTTTTCGTTGCGCTAGCTGCATCCATTGTGATTGACTCTTTGCTAACATTAGTTTTAGTTTTACAACATAATAAAGAACGTGGTTTTGTACTCTATATTGTTTCCAGTAATGCAGTAAAAAAACTTTACTTAGGTACAGTTAGAATTCCTTCAGTGACGCCTGACGTCTTAGCTGACGTCACTTGTCGTCTTGTTGTCTTAGTTTGTTGTCCAGTTATTTTGTTAAAAGTGATTTTTTTTTTGGTGGGGTGGGGAGAGTAGGTAGGGTGCGTAGAAAACAGATCTTTAAGATGTACTAGCACGAAAATCATTCTCACTAGTCCCCAACCCTCCCCCCCACCCAAAAAAGTTCGTCTGTTTCTGTAATTCCAATTTCCTCCAACAAAAATTCTCAGGAAGCTTCACTTGACAATCCGGCAAGTGACGGAAAGAATCTACTAACCCGAATGGAAATTACACTAACCCGGGGCTATAAGAAAGGGCTTTCTTTAATCTTGGCATAATACCTCCGCTTTTGTTGGCGTCGATTTATGTATATTTTTTGCGCATTTAATAAGAATACATGACACAAGCGGATAAGTGAAATTGAGAAGCTTTCTCTGGTCTGTCACAGTGGATATTCGCCGACCGTTTAAGCACAACTCATTAATAAGAAATAAGTTTAAAACTGACAGTATACTGCTGTGATAGATCCCGTCTAGGCGAAACTCAGAATCTCATTTCCAGATGATCAAGTTTAATTTTTTCATCAGCGCATAAATTGTACGAATTGTTTTTATAAAAAAACATCAGAAAACGAAGTTCTTCATGTTAGCCGTAGAATATTTGAAACTGTCTTGTGGAAAATAAATCTCAATTTGTCGAAAACTTCAACAAATTATGACAGTTTTTTTCATAGGAGCTGCGAACAGAACATTTATTTCAAGCGATTTGTAGCGATAATCCAATTGCACGTTTTGGGAGCTGTTTATTCTGATGTGGCAGTAAAATAAAATTGCTGCTCTTTTATGCAATTTCGCCCTTAGCTATTAATAGTAACGACAGACATAATAAAAGCAGAATATTGTGGTTTTTCTAGAACGGGAAAATCAAAATAAAGTGTCGTCCCCTCGGATGCGGACACTAGTCTTTTGTTTTCAAGAGCTTTCTTTTAGAGGACGCTTTATTTTGCAAAGTTTATGTTCAATGTCTCTTTGTTTTTAAGTATTTCGCTAATGTACTTTCCTTTTCGTTTTTGAAAAGTATACACAGAGAGTTTCAGAGTGGCTTAGCTCTTTAATTAACAGTTTTTCACTTAACAATGAAAGTGTTTTGGCTTAATGGCTTGAGGTTATACTCTTCAACTAGAATTATTGTATGTGCTGTAAGCGACATATTTCGCCCGAGTGTCTGTTGTTTAAAAACAGCTTACCGACCAATTTGAATTGCAAATGATCTTGTTTTAGCTTGCGAGAAGTTTTTGGAATACACTCAAACATTATTTGCCGCGTGTAAAGCAGGGACCTCGCTAAGGCGTCTACGCGTTGAACAACAGCGAACTGCAAGTTTTTGTGAATCGTGATCGCTTCAGCGGAGCGTGATCTCGCGTGATTTTGCGTGATTCTGGCTGGCCGACGACATGGGTAAACACATGCGATATTCTGGCGTGAGCTTCACGAACGAGAAATGTGGTTGGCGATTTTCCGATTGTAGTGAATCGTCAATTGAAGATATTCTTGATTCGTTAAACGATGTTATAGAAGAGGTGCTGAGAAACGCCAAGCCAAGGGTTTGTATTTTTGACTTCTAGATTTTTTTAGCTCGATTTTAACGCAGGCTTTTTGGCGACACGTTAAATGTGAGTGATCTCGCGGGAAGCGATTGGAATACATGAAATGAAAATTGGATTAAACACTCATGAAGTTGGACGAAAACAATATGCGTGGGCAATTGGGTGTGGATCCTGCGCAAAAATTCCCTGGGGGCGAAGATTTGTTGCCGAGACTTTTGGTTTCTGGGCGGCTCGTAAAATAGCATTGAATTATTAATTGTAGCGGTTTTTTTTGAGGGAGAAAGGTCTTACAGAGTGTTTCTAAGTATCGAAGCTTTCTTCCCAAATTTGAATATTCCTTGTTTCGAGAGCTAATTATGCCCAGTTTGTTTTTCATATTCGCTGTCAAAAAAACCGGGTCAAGTTACTTTACTTTTTTAGGGTTGTGAACTGGTCATTGGCTTTTTGTTTTGACGAGGATTACGACGCAAGTGTTTTTGGAATTGTTTCATTTTCACGAGATTGTGCTCGTAGTATTTGTTTTCGTTTTTGAACAATGTATAATGTTTAGATTCCATTTTGGATGTCAACTCAAGGAGGCGACCTCAATTAGCTGGGTTAGGTTTTCTTATGAAAAATACTAATAAACGATCAATCTATTTTGAAAACGTCAAACGGGATTGGCGGATCTAGTGATAAACTTTTTATGCGTGAATTTTCGATTATTCTCGAGAGTTGCTGGGTTTAAATTGCTGCGTTTGTAAATTTGTATTTTTTGTTTTCAAGAGCCGTGGTTTTCTTGCAGTTTCTTGCTGTGTAAACACACTCGAGAAAATTTGGTGTGAATATTAAACAGAACATTCAATGCAATAACCAATTCTTCACCTGACTTCCTGAGAAATCATTGTTTAGTTCTTATTGTATTTTTTAATTTATTATCCTGTTCCAGTAATGGGCTCTAAAACAATCTATAATTGTATAAAATTTGATTTCTTTGTTCAATCGTGATTCTTGCCTTGTTTGTTTTTTATAACTTCGTTTTCTTATCTGTTCAGTAAAGTTCGCATAGGCATTTTAATCGCTCTCACAAATTAGTTTCAAGTCATGACTCGACAGACGAAAGAAAGAAGCTGTGAGATTTAAATTTATTGTAATGAGAGCTCCGTTTGATTATGCGAATTATTTTGCTTAAAATAGACGTGCCGTTTTATTGGTTATTCTTTTTTGTTGGTTTTTCTAATTTGTGGAAGGAAACCGTAAATCTGTTAAGCTAAGCAGGGGGTATGGAGCCCAGAAATTTTTTGGCTCCTGTACAGTCACGCGATTCTCGGGTGTTTTCGGAGGCAAAATCGTGTAAAAATCAAGTAGAGGAAGTTGGAAGTGACGATTTCAAATGGTGGATCACTAAAGTGGGAAGCGCTGGGAAAAGATTGAATATGATTAATACGGATTGTAGAACTCTTAACTTCAGTTCTGTAGACCGGCAGAACGCAAATGTGAGTTGCCCGTTGTATATCGCCAGCTAATGAATAGTTTGTTTGTATTTCAAGATGGAGCTTAGATTTTTTTAAAAAGAGTCATTTATGCCTTCGAATTTCTCATGTGTCGTTTGATACTGAACATTTCTGAGAACTCAGTAGCGTGTCAAGGCGGTATCTTCTACAGTTTCTGTTGTGTCATCTCTGGTCTTCTGAACAGTGTTTGCCGTTGTATAAAAATGAGAAATTAGCTATTATCGTGGATTGTAGGACCCCAGTTTTAATTCAAATGGTGTATGTTTCATTGCAGTCTGCACTGGAGAAGCAAATGATCAGCCATCGTGAGGCGCACCAAAAACAACTGTCTGCTCTGAGAGACGAGATTGAATCTCAGCAAGGAATTATTGCAGCAACTAAAGAGTGAGTTGTCTTTTAAAATAAATCTTTTTCTTTCCGCTGGTTTTTTCACCTATTAAGTTTGTTGGTATAAAGGAAACCCACTTTAGCCAATCAGAGAGGAGCGCCCTTCCTGTAGACCAATCATTTTCAGACTGAAGCTAGTCTCTTTAGTAGCCGTTGTTCGTGGATGGAAGAAGTATAAGAGGTATCGGCAAATGCAGCGATTTGTTTGCTTTTCCTCGAGGTGATGTTGATGTATTTTTGGCATCTCTGTCGGCATTCTCATCTGGTTGTAGTAATCGCTTTGCCCTGAGAGTTTCTCTTGCCTTGAAGACTTCTTCAATTTCTTTCTTTTAAACGCTGGTAGCGTTTGTCTCTACAGACGAACAATTCGCTGTTCTCGGAGTAGCGACTCACGTCCACCGATAGCAAGGATCGAATGACCTCAGCAATGTCGAGTGAATGAAGATTTTGTTATTCTTGAGGGCAGCCGACGAACAAATAAAGCACCTAGAGCTACTTTCCACTATTTTTTCGGAGATAGATCCATAGGAAATCTCTGAGATGTGTGGCAACATCTCGCGAAGGAGGCGATGAATTTACGCGGGAAACTGACGTCATGGACAAACTGCTGATACGTGATTGGTTTCAGCGCTAACAATAGGCAACGCGTGATTGGTGCATTCTGTAGTTATCACGTGAACTCTAAACAAAGAGAAACAAATGCGGTTCGGGTTTAAGCAGCCGTTAGTGGAGGAGAAGCGTTGCGTGACGACCCTAATAACGGCTGCGAAGAAGACTAGACTGAAGCCAGCCACGTTTTCTTTTTCCGTCGTCTTTTTCTACGTCATTGGCGAAGGGAATCAATTTTAAGAACCGCGACTGTTTTATGTTTTTAGTAACATTCTGTGACTGTTAAAGTGCCTATGAAGTAAAAAATAATTGCTGCTTATTTGAAAGGCTTTTCAAAGTAAAGAAGAATGGCAGTTCCCTTTTTGGAATATCTGTTTTCGTTCTAGAGATATCTACGTTTTTGTATTATGCAAATGAGAAAGTGATGACGTCATAGGTGGTTCCACTTGAACAGTAAAACACTAAATCAAGAATNCTCTAAAACGAAAAAAGATATTCCAAAAAGGAAAACGCCATTCTTCTTTACTTTGAAAAGCCTTTCAAATCAGCAGCAATTATTTTTTACTTCGTAGGCACTTTAAACGTAGTACCTGTTACTGTCTAATCGTAATGAGGCAACTTTATTTCTTCAGAACCAATCAGAAGCAAGCTTTAGAAAGGGATCACCTTATGGTTAGTACCTCATGTTGTTTAACTTTTTTTCTCCTTCACTTATCGGAATTAAATCTTGCGCAATTATTGATAATTAGTTGGCACTTTAACTTTCTTTAATATTGTCTTTTATTTTCAGCTTGAAAATGAAGCTCTGAAGCGTGAACTTGCAGAGAAATCTGATCGATTGATGGACTTGAAGTGAGTATCAACTAGATTTGTTCACAAAGCGTTTGTGAGCAAGTACTTGTAATTCTCCAAGCTTAACATCCAATGATTGCGTGCCACGAACAGTAAGAATACTCAAGCTTTGCCAGAGAATTAGCCGAGCATTCGCGAAGTATTTCGGGAATTTGAATTAGAACACATCACCCACTGTAATAATGGCCAATAAGAATATTGTCGTGAACACGTTCAACTCAAAAACGTTTAACCTTGCTTACATTCAGTGTTTGCATTGTTTTTACTTCAGTGTACAAGTGGAAAAGAGAGAACAGGCAAAGAACGATCTTAAGGGACTCGAAGAGACGGTGGTATGTACATTAACTAGTGATGAACTCATTCATCATACGAGGCAGTCAGTGTGTTTGATGCTTGTCAGTCCTTTGCAGCTGTGACTTAACGGAGCTACGTCGCGATTTCAGCACCTTGAAATGTTTAGCTGATTTTTTTTCAAGTTGGTCGTTTGTAATCCGTGTTAATCTTCTCCATCGTTAACCATCCTTTGGTTTATTACTATCTCTGTGGCGTTTTTCTATCTTTTCAGGTTTCCTTCAATTTAAAGGTAAATTTGAACATGGCCAAATCAACTCAAAATACGATGATTGAGCTCCTTTAATAGAGCGTCAAACATAATAGAGCTGTGCAGTTAGTTAGGCACGTGGTATATATTTTAAAGGCTATGTACCTTTTGATATCCCTTATTTCAGTTATAGACCTTAGTAGTAACATATTTTCAGGCCCACTTCTTGACACTAAAAATTGATATTAACTGGATCGATATATTTTTCTTGTAGCACAAAGAGTTGGCGACACTTTACCGACTTCGGCAGTTGTTTGTCAAAGATTTGCAGGCTCGATTAAAAGTGGTAAGTCATTATATCACTTGTATTTTCGTCTTTATTCGTAAAACACATCTCCAGTTCTTGCCTTTTGTTTTTCCATGTCATGGTACATGCATGTCATGGTACATGCATGTCATGATACATGCATGTCATGGTACATGCATGTCATGGTATATGTATGTGATGTCATGTCGCGTCATGTCATGTCAGTGTTAACATCCTGATAGGTCACATTAATAGTTCCTATTCTTTTTTTTTTTTCGTTTTTCCTTTCTTTGATGCTCTTTCATTCGATGCCTTCGTGTTTACGTCACACAACCTTACGCTGGTTCATGCTATGTCACGTATACCTTGCTCATGTGTAGTATATTCCCCATCGTATGGCGCACGTGCCAAACACGTGAAACTGTAGAACATTGTTTAGGTGACTAACGCGTTGTTGGTCTTTCTCCTCCCCAGACCAACGCGGACACGGACGCAGAGGAGGAAGGGGGAAGTCAAGCACAAAAACAAAAGATTGCTTTTTTAGAGAATAATTTGGACCAGCTAACGAAGGTCCATAAACAAGTGAGTATTGCTTTGCCTCATTTCACTCTCAGCCTTGATGTCAAAATATTAAATCTCCTCACCAATCGCCATACATTTCTTTACATATCGCTCGTGAGAATTTGGCGATACACCACGAGAGTGTTTTCCAGTTGATCGTTGTTTAATTCTCGTCACCTTCGACTTGGATAGCCTGTTGATACTGGAAGGAGAAACCAATTTTTGATCACTTTGGCTAGTTGATTTCTCTTTCTGAAACTGACGCGTTTACTCTTTCTTTTATCTTTTTTTTTCGCACCTCCTGTGAGGCGACGGACAAATCTTTGATGTTCAGATGTTCAATCCCTCAATAATTGGAGTTAGTGTAGAGTTTTTGGCCATTAAATCCTGCTCGACTCGAGCGCAGTGAGAAATAATGGATTTTAAAACTTTTCCACTGTAAACTTCTCTTAAACGAAAGAAGGTATTTCAAAAGGGCAAACACCATTCCTCTTTATGTTGAAAAACCTTTAAAATAAACACCAATTAATTTTTACGTCATAGACACTTGAAGATTTTGTGTGAGAAACTTTTGATGTAATGTCTCCCAAATCGCGGGGTTTTTTTGCGCAAAACGCGAACCTATTTTTGCTTACAGATGAATGCGATTTGCCTGCTCAATAGCTTAAAGAAACTATAGAAATGTAGATTTACACTTTTAGTCTTGAAATAAGCTACTATTTCTGAGCTTCGAAGTTGTAAAGCATGTAAGGAATGTAGAAGTCTAAAAGACGTTCGTTTTTAAGAGTTGTCTGTGCCCGTGACTTAGAACTGTGGTAGTTCTTAATAGTGTAAATGTTTTATTTCAAACAGCGGAAAGCCTTGCAGAGAGTCAAGATGTTGAAGCAGAAAATCAACGTTCTTTCATTTGCGTGTTAGACGCGCTGAAATAATTCTTTTATTTTTACGGGAATTCCTTTTTTTATTATTTAGATACCCTATTAGAAGTACGGCAACTTTAATTAATCCCTCCATTAAGGTCAGGCTTGGATGTATTTTGATATTTAATACGGCTTCAGAGTTGCGAGTACTCACAGTTGTGAAATATTTTATATTTGACTCGCATTGGAGTGGTTTCATTGTGGCAGTCAACGAATACGTGAAAAGGACAGGAACACTTATAGAATTAGAGAGTCTTAAGATGCGACTTGAAATGGGTTTCTATTTGCGGAGGAGGGCAACATTAATTAATCCGCTTTGAGATCAATGTACTCTAATATTTTGATATTGCATACAGATTTTCAAGCAATGTAAGTAATTGCCTGCAATTTCAACAGTCAAGGCTGTTGAGAACTGTTGTAAACAGGCGCAAATTATGCCATTATGCATTCGTGTTACTTCGTGTTAAAACTCAATGACAAAATATTGGTAATTTATTTTAAAAGGATGTTCTCTCAATATCAACAAAGTTCTAAAAGTAAATAATGGATGGACACAGCAATACAGTTCTTGTAATTAGATCAATACGGGAAGGTTTAAATAAAATGAAACATTTTTTCTCACCGATGTAAAATTCTTCACCTCTGAAACACGCTAAACGATCGATATACTTTTATGAAGAAGCCGGAAAGGAAACTTATCCTTCAAAGATGTTTGATCGAGAAATCCTTGTAGTTTCGCTTTGGCGAATCCGAGTTGAGAACTCGTCATCGGTGTTGGCTTTGAAGAACTGTTCAACTAGAGTTTTGGATGTTGCAACATCTCCTTTCTGTTAGCAACGTGTTTTTGAAAACTACAACGGTAGAACTAGTTTATTCAAGTGTAATTTCAAATGAACTGAACCCTTGGTACACAAAACAGCTGTTCAATAATTACGAGTTATAACTTGATCAGTCAAGAGGTGTTTCGTCAGCGCGAGCGATTGAGGAAAATTGACTGAACTGGGGTGCTGTGGTGCGTTTTTATATAGAATCAATATTGGTCGCATACCAGAAACTGTCATTGTTGACTATATGGTGCTAACGCGTCTTTAATTCCCTCATATAGGCCCTGTTGTGATATGATTAAATCGATTATTTGGTTTCTTAATCTGATTTGAATATTACTCTTTTTTTTTTCTGACAGCTCGTTAGAGATAATGCCGACCTGAGGTGCGAACTGCCCAAGCTAGAGAAGCGCCTGCGAGCAACGCAAGAGCGGGTGAAGTCATTGGAGCAGGCTCTGAAAGAGGCCAAGGAAGGCGCGCAGAGGGACCGGGCACGATATCAGAAGGAAGTGGAGAGAATTCGGGAATCCATGAGGCAGAAACAGGCGGCTGCTAGGAAGGGTGCCCAAGGACATATCGGTATGGTTCCGATATCAGCTTCCTTTAAGAAGGGATATAGGTCACCCAACATTTAGCACAGTGTGTTTTGGAGTCAAGTTTGCAAGGCGTTTCACAAGATATACCTTGATGCTTATTTCGACATTTCTTTCTTCATTTTCCAAAAATGAGTTTTACAATCTTGATACTTTCACTCCGATCGTGGAGGAAACGACTGGTCGATTTCGACCGCAAAACTTTGTCGCGTTTAACAAGTTTAGCACACGGATTGATTCGGGTAAATCAAATGTGCGTCTTGCTTGTTGATTTAAGCGTACGACATGAAAAATATCGTCGAATTCTGAACTTAACGTCTTTTAAAACCCTAGCAATCGTAGCCACAGACAATGTTAAGTGCTGAAAGTTGTATGCGATTTTTGTGTGACGCGAACAGTGCAGGTCACTGTAGTTGCATGCAGCAACAAAGTTGCTCTCTTTAAATCGACCCTAACACTGCAGAACGCTTACAAGTAGCGTTTCCAAGGTGTTTTGCAGATCGTCTCAATTCATGTATGTTACTCATCAGTTATCTTTCATTTTCCATCCCAGCCAAACCTATCCGCCCTGGCCAGCAGCCAACATCACCCAGTGTCCGTCCCAGCAGCAGTTCCGGCATTGGTAGCGCCTTATTGGGTATGACACGTCTGGCTGGCGGAGCAGTCATGGGTTCCAACGTTCCCAACAGTCCCAGCACGCCCAGTATACCCAGCTCGCCCAATGGTGCCACCATAGTGACGCCCGTAATTCGTGGCGGGAAAGGCTCGGAACCCGTGGTGACGTATAGCAAGAGGATACGAAACGCAGTTAGTACGGAGTCTCTTAATCGCCCCTTGCCACAGGGGAGTCCTAGGTGAGTTTTAATAAGGTGTCCGACAATAGATTTCAGCTCTTGCCACCTCTTATACTTTGATGGATCAATACTTCCACTCTTTCTCAGAACCACGATAAAACCTCACATCTTATCTGTGATTTTAATTTGCTTTTTGTTAAAATTGATGTAGTTTCGCTAATCATGTGCAAAGTCAACTGAAATTCCGTCAGCCAAATGAGTCATTGACGTTTTCCTTGTCTGACGCCTGTTGCATGTTTCTGCTTCTGCTTGGTTTTCTGCGGTTTCGCCGCCATCATAATTTGTTCGGTGATTGTTTTTTTGTGTGTGTTGAAACCAGAAACTAACATCATAACACAACTCATCTCCAAAGATAGCTAATTCCAAATTTGGGAATAACGTGTGCCATCCATGCCCGGGGCAAATTTCCATCTAAAATGCCAAAGAAGGGCATCAATTTTAACATCGCATTACGTTTCTTCGGTGTGGGAGGATACCGTTACAATAACTTGGTAGTGAGGGCAGACATTTGTTTTTTAACTTTGTTTTATCGATCGAGTCGGTCGGTTAGTAGACAAAAGAGGTGTGACGGACAAAACGACGTTTTGTTACCTGCTATGGATGTAATACGCTGTTTCTTTACCTGCTATACGTCAACGTTTAAAACGCACCATGTTTCATTCGACTTCCTTACAATTCTAGTGTAAATCGGAGAAAAAAAAATAAGAAAGATGTAAAAAATTTGTCTCCAAGCGGCTGGATTTCTTCTCAATCGCTTCTCGGTGGTTTTATGCGACCATCTTGATAACGGTGTTAGTTACTGGAGGGTCGGAGCTCTGGTATAGACTGGTAGTCTTGTCTTCACAAGTCACAGAGCAGACACCCAACAAAATGTCAAGTGTCATTATGGTTTTAGAAGAATCGAGATAATAAATTATGAAACTGGAGGTCTTCAACTTCACTGGCCCAAGATGGCAGACGGTCAAACGAAGCTCGCACTCGCTTCTTGCCTTGCCTTTGCGGTTTTACGCCTTGTACACAATGCTTCCATACCCGGTGGGGTGACCAAGATTGAGCGGGAAAAGTTGGCGAGTCACACAGAGCTTTTAGAAGGACTCAAACAGGCCGTGCGACTGGAAAACTCGCGAGAGCCCAAGCCGTCATTCAAGTTTGTTTACTTGCCGTACACGCTCGACGCGTCGAGCCAAGTTGTTCAAGGAATAATGTACCGCGCGAACGTAAAGATTGCGCCTTCAAATTGTTTGAATGCTTTGAACGAGACCAGGGAAGGAATCGAAGCGTGTGGAGTGGACTTCCTAAAGCCTGAAGTATTAAAGCAAGAGAAATGTTGCGCGTTTGAAATCTGGTCGCGGCCTTGGTTAGCGGGACAAGAACGCTTAGTGGTTCAAAAAGCGGAATGTACACCGTCTTTTACAGCAGGACAAGCACAGTCTGGTCACTTCCGTGTGACGATGAAGCTTAGTGTTTATCCTGTGTGTAACTTAGTAAAGGGCTGAACAAAGAAACCATATCGCTTTCACTTCAGTCATACTTCAGACGATATGTAAAATAGACTCGAAGACAACAAAAGCCTCAAAACGACAATTTAGTAACATAGACAAGCGCCAATGAAATTATTCTAATCCGAAAAGGAACAAGGAAGTTTAACGTGAAAAATTTAGGCTAATGTTTCTGACAAGATCCGCTTCTCTTCTGAAACGTGATCGACATGCAATTTCTCCGGACAACATTAATAAGATGTCGAAAATAAAGATAGTCATCAGTTTGGGGATACTCTTAATGTATCTCTGAATTCTCAGAACCATAGTATTAAGTTGATATGGAGTTCAGTTGTGAGAATTTATATTTCAAGCTTGCCAGCTTATCGATTTTGGTGCAGAAATTTTCTCCAAACCGCTGAACGACCAAGTTTTCAAGGACGTATGTCTTGGAATAAAATATCTTTATGAAACCCTANGTATGTGATGTCATGTCGCGTCATGTCATGTCAGTGTTAACATCCTGATAGGTCACATTAATAGTTCCTATTCTTTTTTTTTTTTCGTTTTTCCTTTCTTTGATGCTCTTTCATTCGATGCCTTCGTGTTTACGTCACACAACCTTACGCTGGTTCATGCTATGTCACGTATACCTTGCTCATGTGTAGTATATTCCCCATCGTATGGCGCACGTGCCAAACACGTGAAACTGTAGAACATTGTTTAGGTGACTAACGCGTTGTTGGTCTTTCTCCTCCCCAGACCAACGCGGACACGGACGCAGAGGAGGAAGGGGGAAGTCAAGCACAAAAACAAAAGATTGCTTTTTTAGAGAATAATTTGGACCAGCTAACGAAGGTCCATAAACAAGTGAGTATTGCTTTGCCTCATTTCACTCTCAGCCTTGATGTCAAAATATTAAATCTCCTCACCAATCGCCATACATTTCTTTACATATCGCTCGTGAGAATTTGGCGATACACCACGAGAGTGTTTTCCAGTTGATCGTTGTTTAATTCTCGTCACCTTCGACTTGGATAGCCTGTTGATACTGGAAGGAGAAACCAATTTTTGATCACTTGGGCTAGTTGATTTCTCTTTCTGAAACTGACGCGTTTACTCTTTCTTTTATCTTTTTTTTTTCGCACCTCCTGTGAGGCGACGGACAAATCTTTGATGTTCAGATGTTTAATTCCTCAATAATTGGAGTTAGTGTAGAGTTTTTGGCCATTAAACCTTGTTCGACTCGAGCGCAGTGAAAAATAATGGATTTTAAAACTTTTCCACTGTAAATTTCTCTTAAACGAAAGAAGGTATTTCAAAAGGGCAAACACCATTCCTCTTTATGTTGAAAAACCTTTAAAATAAACACCAATTAATTTTTACGTCATAGACACTTGAAGATTTTGTGTGAGAAACTTTTGATGTAATGTCTCCCAAATCGCGGGGTTTTTTTGCGCAAAACGCGAACCTATTTTTGCTTACAGATGAATGCGATTTGCCTGCTCAATAGCTTAAAGAAACTATAGAAATGTAGATTTACACTTTTAGTCTTGAAATAAGCTACTATTTCTGAGCTTCGAAGTTGTAAAGCATGTAAGGAATGTAGAAGTCTAAAAGACGTTCGTTTTTAAGAGTTGTCTGTGCCCGTGACTTAGAACTGTGGTAGTTCTTAATAGTGTAAATGTTTTATTTCAAACAGCGGAAAGCCTTGCAGAGAGTCAAGATGTTGAAGCAGAAAATCAACGTTCTTTCATTTGCGTGTTAGACGCGCTGAAATAATTCTTTTATTTTTACGGGAATTCCTTTTTTTATTATTTAGATACCCTATTAGAAGTACGGCAACTTTAATTAATCCCTCCATTAAGGTCAGGCTTGGATGTATTTTGATATTTAATACGGCTTCAGAGTTGCGAGTACTCACAGTTGTGAAATATTTTATATTTGACTCGCATTGGAGTGGTTTCATTGTGGCAGTCAACGAATACGTGAAAAGGACAGGAACACTTATAGAATTAGAGAGTCTTAAGATGCGACTTGAAATGGGTTTCTATTTGCGGAGGAGGGCAACATTAATTAATCCGCTTTGAGATCAATGTACTCTAATATTTTGATATTGCATACAGATTTTCAAGCAATGTAAGTAATTGCCTGCAATTTCAACAGTCAAGGCTGTTGAGAACTGTTGTAAACAGGCGCAAATTATGCCATTATGCACTCGTGTTACTTCGTGTTAAAACTCAATGACAAAATATTGGTAATTTATTTTAAAGGGATTTTCTCTCAATATCAACAAAGTTCTAAAAGTAAATAATGGATGGACACAGCAATACAGTTCTTGTAATTAGATCAATACGGGAAGGTTTAAATAAAATGAAACATTTTTTTCTCACCGAAGTAAAATTCTTCACCTCTGAAAGACGCTAAACGATCGATATACTTTTATGAAGAAGCCGGAAAGGAAACTCATCCTTCAAACATGTTTGATCGAGAAATCCCTGTAGTTTCGCTTTGGCGAATCCGAGTTGAGAACTCGTCATCGGTGTTAGCTTTGAAGTACTGTTCAACTAGAGTTTTGGATGTTGCTACATCTCCTTTCTGTTAGCAACGTGTTTTTAAAAACTGCAACCCTAGAACCAGTTTATTCAAGTGTAATTTCAAATGAACTGAACCCTTGGGACACAAAACAGCTGTTCAATAATTACGAGTTATAACTTGATCAGTCAAGAGGTGTTTCGTCAGCGCGAGCGATTGAGGAAAATTGACTGAACTGGGGTGCTGTGGTGCGTTTTTATATAGAATCAATATTGGTCGCATACCAGAAACTGTCATTGTTGACTATATGGTGCTAACGCGTCTTTAATTCCCTCATATAGGCCCTGTTGTGATATGATTAAATCGATTATTTGGTTTCTTAATCTGATTTGAATATTACTCTTTTTTTTTTCTGACAGCTCGTTAGAGATAATGCCGACCTGAGGTGCGAACTGCCCAAGCTAGAGAAGCGCCTGCGAGCAACGCAAGAGCGGGTGAAGTCATTGGAGCAGGCTCTGAAAGAGGCCAAGGAAGGCGCGCAGAGGGACCGGGCACGATATCAGAAGGAAGTGGAGAGAATTCGGGAATCCATGAGGCAGAAACAGGCGGCTGCTAGGAAGGGTGCCCAAGGACATATCGGTATGGTTCCGATATCAGCTTCCTTTAAGAAGGGATATAGGTCACCCAACATTTAGCACAGTGTGTTTTGGAGTCAAGTTTGCAAGGCGTTTCACAAGATATACCTTGATGCTTATTTCGACATTTCTTTCTTCATTTTCCAAAAATGAGTTTTACAATCTTGATACTTTCACTCCGATCGTGGAGGAAACGACTGGTCGATTTCGACCGCAAAACTTTGTCGCGTTTAACAAGTTTAGCACACGGATTGATTCGGGTAAATCAAATGTGCGTCTTGCTTGTTGATTTAAGCGTACGACATGAAAAATATCGTCGAATTCTGAACTTAACGTCTTTTAAAACCCTAGCAATCGTAGCCACAGACAATGTTAAGTGCTGAAAGTTGTATGCGATTTTTGTGTGACGCGAACAGTGCAGGTCACTGTAGTTGCATGCAGCAACAAAGTTGCTCTCTTTAAATCGACCCTAACACTGCAGAACGCTTACAAGTAGCGTTTCCAAGGTGTTTTGCAGATCGTCTCAATTCATGTATGTTACTCATCAGTTATCTTTCATTTTCCATCCCAGCCAAACCTATCCGCCCTGGCCAGCAGCCAACATCACCCAGTGTCCGTCCCAGCAGCAGTTCCGGCATTGGTAGCGCCTTATTGGGTATGACACGTCTGGCTGGCGGAGCAGTCATGGGTTCCAACGTTCCCAACAGTCCCAGCACGCCCAGTATACCCAGCTCGCCCAATGGTGCCACCATAGTGACGCCCGTAATTCGTGGCGGGAAAGGCTCGGAACCCGTGGTGACGTATAGCAAGAGGATACGAAACGCAGTTAGTACGGAGTCTCTTAATCGCCCCTTGCCACAGGGGAGTCCTAGGTGAGTTTTAATAAGGTGTCCGACAATAGATTTCAGCTCTTGCCACCTCTTATACTTTGATGGATCAATACTTCCACTCTTTCTCAGAACCACGATAAAACCTCACATCTTATCTGTGATTTTAATTTGCTTTTTGTTAAAATTGATGTAGTTTCGCTAATCATGTGCAAAGTCAACTGAAATTCCGTCAGCCAAATGAGTCATTGACGTTTTCCTTGTCTGACGCCTGTTGCATGTTTCTGCTTCTGCTTGGTTTTCTGCGGTTTCGCCGCCATCATAATTTGTTCGGTGATTGTTTTTTTGTGTGTGTTGAAACCAGAAACTAACATCATAACACAACTCATCTCCAAAGATAGCTAATTCCAAATTTGGGAATAACGTGTGCCATCCATGCCCGGGGCAAATTTCCATCTAAAATGCCAAAGAAGGGCATCAATTTTAACATCGCATTACGTTTCTTCGGTGTGGGAGGATACCGTTACAATAACTTGGTAGTGAGGGCAGACATTTGTTTTTTAACTTTGTTTTATCGATCGAGTCGGTCGGTTAGTAGACAAAAGAGGTGTGACGGACAAAACGACGTTTTGTTACCTGCTATGGATGTAATACGCTGTTTCTTTACCTGCTATACGTCAACGTTTAAAACGCACCATGTTTCATTCGACTTCCTTACAATTCTAGTGTAAATCGGAGAAAAAAAAATAAGAAAGATGTAAAAAATTTGTCTCCAAGCGGCTGGATTTCTTCTCAATCGCTTCTCGGTGGTTTTATGCGACCATCTTGATAACGGTGTTAGTTACTGGAGGGTCGGAGCTCTGGTATAGACTGGTAGTCTTGTCTTCACAAGTCACAGAGCAGACACCCAACAAAATGTCAAGTGTCATTATGGTTTTAGAAGAATCGAGATAATAAATTATGAAACTGGAGGTCTTCAACTTCACTGGCCCAAGATGGCAGACGGTCAAACGAAGCTCGCACTCGCTTCTTGCCTTGCCTTTGCGGTTTTACGCCTTGTACACAATGCTTCCATACCCGGTGGGGTGACCAAGATTGAGCGGGAAAAGTTGGCGAGTCACACAGAGCTTTTAGAAGGACTCAAACAGGCCGTGCGACTGGAAAACTCGCGAGAGCCCAAGCCGTCATTCAAGTTTGTTTACTTGCCGTACACGCTCGACGCGTCGAGCCAAGTTGTTCAAGGAATAATGTACCGCGCGAACGTAAAGATTGCGCCTTCAAATTGTTTGAATGCTTTGAACGAGACCAGGGAAGGAATCGAAGCGTGTGGAGTGGACTTCCTAAAGCCTGAAGTATTAAAGCAAGAGAAATGTTGCGCGTTTGAAATCTGGTCGCGGCCTTGGTTAGCGGGACAAGAACGCTTAGTGGTTCAAAAAGCGGAATGTACACCGTCTTTTACAGCAGGACAAGCACAGTCTGGTCACTTCCGTGTGACGATGAAGCTTAGTGTTTATCCTGTGTGTAACTTAGTAAAGGGCTGAACAAAGAAACCATATCGCTTTCACTTCAGTCATACTTCAGACGATATGTAAAATAGACTCGAAGACAACAAAAGCCTCAAAACGACAATTTAGTAACATAGACAAGCGCCAATGAAATTATTCTAATCCGAAAAGGAACAAGGAAGTTTAACGTGAAAAATTTAGGCTAATGTTTCTGACAAGATCCGCTTCTCTTCTGAAACGTGATCGACATGCAATTTCTCCGGACAACATTAATAAGATGTCGAAAATAAAGATAGTCATCAGTTTGGGGATACTCTTAATGTATCTCTGAATTCTCAGAACCATAGTATTAAGTTGATATGGAGTTCAGTTGTGAGAATTTATATTTCAAGCTTGCCAGCTTATCGATTTTGGTGCAGAAATTTTCTCCAAACCGCTGAACGACCAAGTTTTCAAGGACGTATGTCTTGGAATAAAATATCTTTATGAAACCCTA